ATATATAAGTATCTTTTTTATTCTATCTTTCTTACTTCTAATCTTTATTATTCTATCTAATTTTATTTGAAATTTTTTAAATATATTTTAAACTAAGAATTCCTTATTTTAAAGTTTTATCTAATCTCATTTAAAATATACAATATTAATTTATGATCTTTCAAAATATATTTTAATTTATTGACATTCCCCCTTAAAGTATACTTTTAAATGTAAGTGTCAGCTTTATCCGTAAAGTCATGCTTATAACTACCATCAAATATGGGATTACTTGTAAAAATATGATCCGACCCGACTAAAGTGTTTTTCGGGCAAATGTGAATGTTACCATTCATATCCTTTTTATACTGTTCAAAAATCTACCTGAATCAAGTTGCTCCATCCGAAAACTTACTGGACTTCATATAAAAGGAATATCATCGATACAACGATCAAATTATAAGAATATATTTATACAAATTATAAATAATACCAAATTTCTTACGAAAATAAGTAGGTAATGATGCAATTCAAGTAGGCTATGGTAGGATCATACTAGCACTAAGGGGGGGAGGGGGGGAGGGGTTAAATCAGTCTTATAGCAATTTTAATCGATTTTAAAGTTCGATTGATTAGACTTGTGAAGATCATATTAGCACTAAGGAGGAGGGGTTAAATTAGTCTTATAGCAACTTTAATCGATTTTAAAGTTCAATTGATAAATCTTATGATTAACCAAAAGTGCAAGTAAGGGTTGCAAGTAAAGTAAATCAACAAGCAATAGCAGATTAAGGTAAGAGAAGAAATGCAAATCGATTTATACTGATTCGGTCGTCTCGACCTATGTCCACTCCCAATTCCTCTTCCCTTGAGGTTATCGACTTTCACTTCTAATCTTCTTTTGAATAAGTAATCAACTACCCTTGTTACAACTCTTTTCATTTTAATAGGCTTAGGAGAGAACCTTCGTACTCACTCTTTTATAAGAGACCTCACCTTTTATAACTTAGCATTATCTCTAAACTTAAGAAAGAGAAAGAGACTCAAACAATGCTAAAAAAAAAGAGTTTACATACTGAAGCAAGCATGAATAAGATATTTGTAAACCCCAAAAAGCTTCATTGAGCCAAACATTTAAATCCCCAAAATTTTGGGATACTAATGGTACTATCGCTGGCACTATGTGATACTATCATTGACATTGAATGGTACTACCGATCATGACGAAGCCAAGAATCCAAGCTTTGGCGATACCATCGTCAGCCCAGGTGGTACTACTACCGATATGGGCGATAGTATTGTTGAAACCGTCGAAAAAGCACAAACAGTGCTTTTCGAGTGACTTAGGCGCTACCATCACCTAGGCCTGGCAGTACCATTGCCCAAGCCTACTTTAAGTCATCGATTTAGCCTTGTAACAGGTCCACTTCTGCCCTGGTTCAAAACCAATGAGTTTTTGACAAGTTGGCATAGTTTCGACCCAATACTAACTCAATTTAACCCAAAAAGATCTCGATCAAGACTTTAATATTCTAACCATATATTCGGCATAATTATGAAGCTTTCATCACGTTGCACGCTATTTCGACATGTCGTCTGATCTTTTGACACTTTATCCAAACCTTTAGTATATCATCCTTTCATTCGACATATCGCTCAACCTATTGGCATGTCAACTTTCCCATAGCATATGATCTTTTGGTGCAATACCCGATCCTTCCGACACGATGCTCAAACTTATAGCACGAAGTCCAATCTTCGGCACATCGACCAATCCTCCGGCCCAACGTTTCATTTTCGACATGATATTTTTCTGGCCCAACGTTTGATTCTCCTGCTTCGACAATTTCTTCTTTGATGGTTCGAGTCTGTGATTAAAATATTTCCTGCATTACTTATCTCAAAAGTATATTAGTCCATAAACTCATCATCAAAATTCAATTTAATAGGCTCAAGATCATCAATTGGTTCAGAAAAAAATAATAACATATGTTTACATTATCTCTATTTTTGTAACTTGTTGGTTTAACAATTGTTCTTTTTGATTTTCTCAATATTAAAATTTCTTCTTTATGAACATCATTACTCTTCTTGTAGTTTTACTCCATCATTGGTGATGAAAAAATAACAAGAGCAAAGATATATATGAGGAAGAAGATGAGCCAAAATCTAGATAAAGGAATCTCAACCATATGTTTTGAAAATGTATCACTTTCATTATTATGATTGATATTTTCAAAACAAATTATTTATGAGGCATAATAACAAAAAATTTCATCAAACTCAATATCTCGAGATACCATATACCTATATGTTTGTGAATCTATATATTTTCAATCTTTTTTCCTTTCATCACAGCCAATAAAGATTCATTTCTTAGCCTTTACATCAAGCTTGCTTTTTTTAAAGTCTAGTACGTCAGAATAGATTCTAAAATGTTTAACATTTGGTTTCTCACCAAACATGAGTTGATATAGAGACTTCAAATTGATTAGAATAAGAGAAGTTCAATTAATAACATAAGTTACACATGCTATACCTTTTACTCATAAGGTTTTGGGTAAATTTTTTGGATGAAGCCAACATTTACATAAGATGTCGAATCTTTCGTTCAGCCATCTCATTTTGTTGTGGTGCATATGCACATGTAAGTTTTCTTTTGATATAATACTCTTTGAAAAACTAGAAGAATCTATCATAAGTAAACACTCCATTATTATCATAGCACAATCTTTTAATTTTTCTTTAAGAAACTTAACTTTATTAGGATAAAAAAGAATATAATTTCCAGCATCAACTGCATTTGTTTTTTCTCGTACTTGGAATATGGTACATACTCTTCAATGTAAAAGGATCATTATCTTTATTTGAGATTATAATAGTGCTTTCTTTCTTCACTTGGTGAATAATATTATCTGTCATGATAATTATACTATTAAATAGACCCAAGTGATAATTGTACCATTAAATTCTAATTTTTTCTTCACAAAATAGACCCAAGTGAACCTTATAAAATTATCAATAAAGAGAAGTACATAATGAGAACATGAATGAGATGGTGTTTGAGTAGAGCCCATTAGATTGCTATGAATAAGCTCCAAGCGAGATTTACATCTTCAAAGTGATTTATCAAAGAGTTGCTTGTGTGCTTTGCCATATTAACAGCTTTCACAAACTTTATTACCATTAAAAGTAGTAATATTGGAAAGACCATTTACTAAACTTTTCTGCATCATAATCTTAAATTTAAAAAAATTTATGCAGTATCATTTGTACTCATCTTATCAACATAAGATATTGATATCAACATAAGATATTGATGTAGTATGTACTACATTTATATTTAATTCTTTTATATTGTGAAGAAACTTAACTTTATTAGAAAAAAAAGAATATAATTTCCAGCATCAACTGCATTTGCAATAGAGAAAAGATTTTTCTTACTTGGAATATAGTACGCACTATTCAATTATAATAGGATCATTGTCTTTATTTAAGATTATAATAGTATCTTTTTTTTTTTCTCACTTGGTGAATAATATTATCTATCCTGATAATTGTATCATTACCTACATAGACGAAGATTTGAAAGAAGAGATAGATGACTGCCTTTGGAACCTTTCTCGTCTATGCTTCACATTTTGGTCCTCTGGATTAGTTCTTCAATTTTTGCTGTGCTTTGAGCTATAAACAAAGAATAATCCCATTATAAAATATACGATGAATAAATTCTTGAAGTCGCGGAATTTGAGAGGTACAAGCACAACTATTGTTTAAAATGTCGGTCAAACAAAGGACCAATAACAGTGTATACAATTTAAATAATGCCATGTAGGGTTATTTTATTATTATTATTATTTCAACATAATAGGCGGTATAAGTTGGCATACAGTTCAGTGTAATAGCACCAAACCAACACAACCTATACAACTAATATGTGATAGAAGATAAGATCTTTCCAATTTGATAGAATATAAGATTTTCCCAACTTGATAGAAGAAAAGATTTTC